TGAAAATTGTTATATTTAGTGAATAATTAATTAATAATATTACAAGATATTTTATACTAATGCTATCCTATATTTGCTGATATCTCTACAATAATGGCTCTTTATGTAATAGACCTTATCACAGAGCTGAAGGCTGTTGGAAACATTATTTGTCAAAACCTTGTATACCCTGTCCTGTATGTGGAAAGCCTACTTCTGCTGATCCTGGTCGATATAAGAAATATGCCAGTAGCTACTATACATTAAAACACTACAATAAAATTCGTTCTCACCCCTGTTCACTCTCAAGTATTGTAAAACAATGAAACTTTACCTTTCGTGTTCAGATAAGTGTAGTTAATTAGTAACTGTTAACAGGCAGATTACTATTTTTCTTTTTTCAAACTTAAACTGGATAAGAAATCTATAATGATAACTAATGTTCCACTATGCTTCGCATCAAAACCTTCCAAGTGGACCTAGATGCTCCACTGCATTCCACATTATACCTTCCAAGTGGGTCTAGATGCTCCACTGTGTTTTGCATTATACCTTCCAGGTGGGGCTAAAATATAAATTTATCGTTATCAAAATTAAGATTTTGGAAACTTAAATTGGACAAGAAAACAATATAGATTTCTAGATGTTAAAAAAATGATTAAAGGCCAGATAGCTATATAATATATTTTTTATCTAACGAAAATGTGGCCTAAATCATAAAACAAATATTATCGAGATTAAGATTCCGAAAACTCCAGCTAGGCAAGAAAGTAAAATAGAATTCTAGATATATTGAAAGGTGAAAAAGATCAAAAAGCTATATAATAACTAAAAAATACTGGTCGAAAATTAATAAAACATACACATATCAGGTACCTGATATGTGCATGGTGTGTCCCTAATATCGGACATATATCGGGTACCCGATAAGTATAGAAAATATTTTTTTATACTTATCGGGTACCTGATATATATATAAAATATTTTCTACACCTATCAGGTACCCGATATATGCCTGATATTAGGGACACACCATGCACATATCGAGTACCCGATATGTGTATGTTTTATCAATTTTTGACTAGTGAAAGATCACTATAGTAGAAGATGAGCTTACACTAGCTAGCCGATGCTAATACCTTAGCTGGAAAAATCCACACTCCCCCCTTTTCTTATACACTTTGTTCTGCATACAATAGTAAATATCAAAGAGCAAAATATAAAGACAAAAATAATTCAGCAGAAATATTGTTATAAGATGATGGTCCCGATAATGTAACTACAACTTCAAGTGAGATAGAAGAGCTAAAATTATCTATTATAATTGAAAACAAATAAAAAAATAATACTGCTAAAATATTAATAATTTTACCAGTGGATTTTGATAATGTTATTGAAAAAATTTATTTATATATTCAAAAATCTCTTGGTGATAGAAAACTCAATGTATTTGTACTGGTCGAAAATTGATAAAACATACACATATCAGGTACCCGATATGTGCATGGTGTTTCCCTAATATCAGGCATATATCGGATACCCGATATGTGTATGTTTTATCAATTTTCAACCAGTGTTGATTATTCTCTTCAATACAAAGCACTCAATAGTAGGAGTACAGCAAATACTTTGGAGGAAGAAACAGATTTTAATGATTTTTTAGACAAATATAAAAAAATAATTGGTAGTAATAAAAAAATGGGAATTAGTGTTATTCTTAATAGTATTTATATTAATAATATT